CCATACACAAAAATTAACTCAAAATGGATTAAAGACTTGAAGGTAAGATATGAAACCATAAAACTCCTTGAAGAAAATATAGGCAGTCCACTTTTTGACATTGGCCTTAGAAACATCTTTTTGAATACCATATCTACTTGGGCAAGGGAAACAAAAGAAAAAATAAACAAATGGGACTTCATCAGACTAAAGAGCTTCTGCAAGGCAAAGGAAACCAGGAACAAAACAAAAAGACAACCTACCAACTGGGAGGAAATATTTGCACATCATATCTCCGACAAGCGGTTAATCTCCAAAATACATAGAGAACACACACAACTCAACAACAAAAAAACAAAGAACCCGATTAAAAAATGGGCAGAGGATATGAACAGATATTTTTCCAAAGATATACAGATGGCCGACAGGCATGTGAAAAGATGCTCAACATCACTAATCATTAGGGAAATGCAAATAAAAACTATAATGAGATATCACCTTACACCCACTAGAATGGCTATAAATACCAAGATGAAAAATAACAAATGTTGGAGAGGATGTGGAGAGAAGGGAACTCTCATACACTGCTGGTGGGAGTGCAAACTGGTGCAGCTGCTATGGAAAACAGTATGGAGATTTCTCAAAAAATTAAAAATAGAAATACCATATGACCCAGCTATCCCACTACCAGGTATTTATCCAAAGAACTTGAAATCAACAATTCAAAGAGACTAATGCACCCCTATGTTCACTGCAGCATTATTCACAATAGCCAAGATGTGGAAGCAACCCAAGTGCCCGTCAACTGATGAATGGATAAAGAAGATGTAGTATATATATATATAATGGAATACTACTCAGCCATAAAAAAAGACAAAATCATACCATTTGCAACAACATGGATGGACTTTGAGGGTATTATGTTAAGTGAAATAAGTCAGACAGAGACAGACAAACACTGCGTGACTTTACTCATATGTGGAAGATAAACAAACACACGGACAAAGAGAACAGATTAGTGGTTACCAGAGGGGAAGGGGGTTGGCGGTGGGCATAACAGGTAAAGGGGCACATATATATGGTGACCGACAAATAATAATGTACAACTGAAATTGCACAATGTTATAAACTATTATGACCTCAATAAAAGAAAAAAGGAAAAAAAAAAAAGAACCAGACTTTGAGTAGCAAGGACACACAGATCATCTATAACAATGCTGACAGTAAACACAGCATGAAACCTGGTTTCTTTGACAATGGTTAGGAAATAAATGCCCCATCGTGCGAATCCAACTCCCCATCGTTAAAGAAAGGCGAGCGCAGGAAGGGCCAGAGGAAGGTGTGACATTCACTGAGGGATGGCAAGATCAGGGTGCTTAATGAACCCATTCCTAACCCAACAAATATCAAAACATTCCTTTGAGAACAAGGAGAAGAAATCCACCTGGTTTCTTCCAAGATAGCCCTGTAATTCCCAGGGGAGAAAGCTGAGGTTGCCGAGAGGAGATTCTACATGACTTCACGCAGAAGACCTTACCCAGTGAGGCCCAGTTACTATAGTTCTCCAGCATCACATCCATGTACAAGTCCCTCTGAGCGGGGTCCAGGCACTCCCACTCCTCCTGCGAGAAGTCGATGGCCACGTCGCTGAAAGTCACCAATGCCTAAAACCAAAAGCCCACGCATTACTTGTGAAATTAAAGAAATTAAGACAATATTTCAAAGAGGGAAAAAGAGAGTCATGAAGGATGAACTGCAAGTAGAGAAAAATACAACAATCAAGTCGGCAGGAAGCCTGTGATACGGGTAGGGAAATGTTAAGGAAATTAATGTGACTAAAGTAGAGTGCCTACATGTACTAGAAGAATCCTGTTATAGCAGAAAAACCTTCCTGGACACTGAGATAACTCAGCTATCCAGATCTGTCTGGTAATATACAAAATTATCTCAGTTTCTCCCCCATTAAATAAAAATAGTGTGAGTGAATGTGTGTGTGTGTGTGTACATACATACAACCTTCCTCATAAATTCTTTATAAATGTAAACCACTACACCATTGTTTCCCTTTGAGGAATAAGAAAAAAAAACATGAAAACTTTTTTTTCCAAATTTACTATAAAATATTTGAGAAAAATAATTTCCATTAAATTACGGATTATTGTTGTTAAACCTCAAGTATATCATTCTGTTAGGTTACATCATAAGCATTTTTTCTTATGATGATAACTACACAAAATGTTTTTATTAGCTGCAATTCAGTTCCTCATATGGATATATGAGACTAATAATTCTATTAAATAATTTATACATGTAGGCTGAACAAAACTTCTAAAGATTTTCTTAATTCTGACAATCTATTATCATCTAGTACATAAGAATCTGGATCATCTTCTTCTTTGTTACCATCAACCACCCCTTGCTTAACACCCGCCTTGTTTCCGAGTTGGAAGATATGGATATAGGATATGATACATGACACAGATGTCACCCAAGACCTGTATGTCCTGGTCAATGACAAAATAGACTTTGACACTGACGATTAGGGAATCCCTGGAGAGAACCACTCACTCCCTTCTCTAATCTTAAAAGCCTCGCAAAGGACATAAACTGAGGCTGAGACGAAGAAATCCCAAATTCCATCTTATCTCTCTGGAAAACACAGGTCTGTGAAGAAGTTCTAAGCTTTCCTGTGTGGTCCAATGAGACCCTCATCGCTAACTTATCACACCCTAGACTTGACACAGGAATGAGAAATTCTGAGAAGGGAACTGGAGCAGCCCTGGCCGGAAGAAGACAGAGGTGATAACGAAGGGCACAAACCAAGACAGCCTGCCATGGACACGTCACAGTGAAACACCAAAGCTCTTCCAGAGAATGTACAAATGGACACTGCTCTCTCGGGTGACCATCTAGCTGTCTGAGGGCAGAGTATCCTGACTGGCTGTCTTCCTACCTGTCTGCCAATTAGCATCTTAGCCTAAAAAAGGAGAAGTGTTGTTTTCAAAATGTCTGCAAACTTTCATTCTCTCCTCCTTCCTCCTCTCATGTAAATCCTGTTTGTGCCTTTGACAGATGAAATCTATCAAATATATTATTGGTTTTCCTTGTACACAAGTAAAAGTGTGCTCATTGTTAACTATATTTCTTTGAGTTATTCTTTGACAGAAGCTCAAGTATTTCCCTCAAAAAACTCCATTCCTTCACTGTTCTGGACAGAAGACTGAGCACACAGAGGTTGAATAATGTGTTTAGTGAATATGATGACGCTGATTGGCAAAGGCACACAGGGAGGACCCTGGGCTATCTGGCACCATCCTTCACTGGAACAGGAGGAACTGAGAAGCAGGTTCAGGGATGGGGTTCTGTTAGACAGAAAGCTTTAGGATAAGGAAAAGATTCATATGACCTAAAGAATCATAATATTTCAAGAAGAGAGAAATACCAACTTACATCAGTCATGGTTCTAGAATTGCAAGAGCTAATTAATGCTCCATGGGGTTCCTCTATTGGTGAAGCACAGAATCCAGAAAAGCCAGAGCTGGAGAAGAAAAAACAAGCTTTAGACCAGGTGTGCTTAAGTGATTCCATCCTGACTTCAGTTAATATAAGCTTCTCTGTCCTCCACTCCTGCTTCTACCCCACATCCCACACGTCACTTATGGGATCTAAACTCTCACCCCAAACCCAAGGTCCTTCAGCAGGAAGGTTTCTGGTACTGCCCAATCCTGGAGATGCTGATATGGACCTGAGATTGGACCACTCAGTCCTGCTCCTACTAGATCCTCCTCCCCTCATTCCCTTCGGGGCTGAGAAGAGACCACATGGTCCAAGTTAGAGCATCCTTCATAGGCTCAGGAGCCTAAAAAGCTGACTTCTTAATGCATTCAGAACCTCCATGCAACGGAACACTATGGAACTATGCTAAGTTGGGGAAAATCATCACAAAGGGGTTTATTCTGTATCTGAACCTGTCTTTTTAGACATGACACCCTTCAGATAACTGCTGAATCACAAGATCCCATTAGTCTCACTTTGCAGCTAACATGAGGAGGATAAAAACTAGAAGGTATAAAACTCACAGGATCAATTCCATTCGCCTCCAGAAAGTTGGTCATGACCCAACAGTATTGCTGTGATTACTTTCCTGTGAGTTCCTAAGACAGGTCACCTGAATTGCCTTTTAGTCTTTGCTGCTGGCTGCCTTACACTTATTCTATGTATATTTTGTCTTACTTGTCTTAGAGGTAACGACTATGTCTTTAGTCATTGTATTACCTCCCAAGCACTACTATCTCAGGGTCTTATATTTGAGACAAATTTTTACCCAAAATTCCACGTATAGAAATGTATCCTTAAATAGCTAGAGAAGTACACAAGATGTATACACAAGGATATTCAACCAAAAATCATTTACGATAATCAAGAATTAGAAACTATGTAATAGTAGGCAAAAGGCTTAATAAATTATGGCTCATGATACCCTTGTTAGTTATGATGATATCGGACCATATTAATTGATGAAGAAAAGCATGCATAACCAATTTCTTAGTGAGGGAGGCAGGTTTGTAAAAGACACATAATGTGAGAAGTGTTTCTGAAGTTAAGATAGGTTAATAAGGTAATGCTCTGGTATCAGATTTTCAGGATGTAGATCCGAGCTTGTTAGTTACCAATTTCTCAACACTTCTATTTCCTCATCAATAAAAGAGGGATAAGTACAGTGTTCTGGTTGCATTCAAGATTACGTAAGAAAATCCATATAAAAATACTGAATGGTGTATAATAACTGCTTAATATATGTTTCAGCCATTATTATTGAAGATGAAGATTAACGTCCCTTATCCCATTATAATACAGTTACTGCCACTCTTTCCATTTTTCTCATAATAAAATCTTTGCTTCTCAGTCTGCTTTCTTATAATCCTAATTAAAATTTCACAGCCCAGCCTTGAGCCCACTATTCTTCCTAAATAATAAGATGAGCAAAATAGGTTCTCAGAAAAATATAGAGGAAATATGCCTTCCTCCCAGAAGCTACAGGAGAGACAGGATTCCGCATTATAAAGCCAGCTCAGAAAACACAACCCAATTAGGTGTCAAGCTGAGAACATTAACTACAGGCTCAATCTTATTCTTCTGTGCAAACTGGTGGCTTATTTGAATATTTATAACTGTAACATTCTTATTCTACCCTCTGGTATTAACATCTGTTCTTGGAAATATTATCTGTAAAATAGATTTTAGTAAGACAACTCTATATTAGAGATTATTGCTATTCTCTGTGGAAGGAACCTTTAAAATCATCTAGTTCTGAAAGGCTGTCTTTGTTGCCCTGGTAATCAATTTTTTTTTTTTTTTTTTTGTGAAGAAGATTAGCCCTGAGCTAACATCTGTTGCCAATCTTCCTCATTTTTTGGCTTGGGGAAGATCAGCCCTGAGCTCACATCTGTGCCAATCTTCCTCTCTGGTAATCAATTTTTAAGTGGCATTTCTATATTCCTAAAAATTGTAAATACTTGACAGTTTTCAAATAAGAAAGGAAGCTGGTTCTTCCCTCTTGTTTCTACATATTCAAGATTAAAATAAAATCCATGTCTGGGTTGGGTTTCTTTTTCAAACTAAGAGCTAAAGAGTCTTCAACTCAATTATATCACTGATTACTGTGATTTTATTCTGCAGAAATAAAATCAGAGACATAGGCTCACAGGAAGAAAAATTTGAATAAAAATACATCAAAATATTAAGCATGATTAACTCTAGAGGACGTAATTTTCACTTCCTTCCCTATACATTTCCTGGCTTGCCGAATTTTTTGCAACAAATTTGTATTAATTCCATAATCAAAAATATAAAGAAACTTCCAAATGTAAAAAATGGAGTGATAGGGAAAAGGCATATTTCAGTCATTAAGAAAATTGAACAACCAGGCCCGACACTGAAAATCAGCGAGTCTGAAACAAACTACACCTACCAGCTCTCGAACATGCTGGAGCTGTCACTCATCAATACGAGACGCTTTCACTGTCAAGATTCTCCTGTGAAGGAACACGAATTATGTGAGTCACCTTCAAAGTCTGAGAAGAAAATATATGTGGATATATGCATAAATAAACAAAACAATATTTGGCACAAAATAAATGTTTAACAAGTGTGGCCACACCTCTCCCCCTCTTCACTTAATGGTCAATTAAAATAACATTTTGGATACAACCTTTGCAAAATGTCTTTCAAAAGCTTGTCTTTTTGAATAGGATTCATAATAAATCATAATATTCTTGAGTACTTTTGTTCATAACTACACCTATAGCTTAATATTATATCATTTCCATTTTTCCTTCTTTTGATTCTTTATAAACATGATTTTTATTAGGCACATGTTATTCCATCACAGGATATACTGCAATTCAATTAACTGTTTCCATAAAACTAGACACTCATTTTAAGGTTCCTTCCCAGCTATTATGTCTTTATACCAGATCAATGGAACTAGATCTTTTTTGGGTCTTGTACACTTGATAATCTCATGAAATTATAGACATTCTGCCCATTAAAAAATGAATTTGCACATATTTACAAAAATTACGTCTCAATTTCAAGGGGTCTGTGGTCACCGGGAAGCTCACAAAAGGAATAAGAAGCCCTCAGGTTAAGATTTCCTGTACTAGACCATTTGAGCATCTTTCTTAAACTTTCAAACACTCATCACAATCATCTTCATATTTCAATCTATAAAAAGTTTATGGAGAATGATCCAGAATCACTACATAACAGCATCTCTTAATATTTACTAAGCCTGTATCATGGGGCAGGCACTGTTCTAAGGAGCTTTACACATATTATCTCATCTTACATCATTACAACCCCATTAAGCAGGTATTATTTTGGCCCAATTTTGTAGATGTGGCACAGAGATGCTGAGTCATCTGTCTAAGCACACACAGCTAGTCGCAGGCAGAGCCAGGATTTAAAGCCAGATGCTCTAACTCCAGAGCCTTACTCTTAACCACAATAGAGTACTGCCTCTCACAACCCACACGAAGTTGGACCTGAAACAATTCATGCTTAGCAATGTTACAGATTTCTACCTAAAGATGATCTGAAGTCTCTGCCCTTGTTCGTACAAACTGCAAACCCCTATGCTCAAAGCCCACTCATATTCCCGCCCCTAAAAGCCTCACAACATTGTCATTTATTAACTGAAATAATCCCCTTCTACCTTGCCTTGCTTTAAAAATCATGACCGAGGAAAAGATAAAAAATAGTTTGTACACAATACCATGTAAATAGTGATCTCTAAAATAAAGCTCTAACATTCATCTCCAGGAGGGGTATTTCTATGCCACCAGAATACTTAGAAAGAGAATGCCCTGAAGGATTTGAACACTTTGCCATAGGAACAGATGGCTGGTAATTGAGGACGCTAGGGGGCCCGTGGGAAGAGTGATGCATCACCTTAGGGGGTTATTCACGAAAAGGAAGATCCAGGAGAGACTCTACTAGTCAAGACATTTCAGGCCAAGGAAAGCAAATATTCTCATGATCTAAAAACAAAAGTAACTCTATAAATAAAGAAACAAACTCACTTGAACCTTGATTTCTAAATATGCGACAATTCTCTCCTCCTCTTCAGGGTCCTTCTCAGGAACCCGGCAGCAGTGGGGGAAAAAAAGGAACCATGAGACACTAGCATTTCTTGCAGCACAGACTAAACTAAAAAAGAAAAAAACCAAACAAAACACCCTCTATGGCACATCTGCCTTCAACCACATATAGCCAAATAGAACTAAAAGGGAGGTTGGGGGGCCGGCCCCGTGGCCTAGTGGTTAATTCTCTGGCGCCGCAGACCTACATCACTCTTGGCGGCTATGCTACAGCGGTGACCCACATACAAAATAGAGGAAGACTGGCACAGATGTTAGCTCAGGGCGGATCTTCCTCCTGCAGCAAAAAAAAAAAGAGGAAGATTGGCGACAGATGTTAGCTCAGGGCGAATCTTCCTCTCTCAGCAAAAAAGAAGAAAAAAGAGGAAGATTGGCAACAGATGTTAGCTCAAGGCAATCTTCCTCCCTCAGCAAAAAACAAAAGAAAAAAGAGGGAGGTTGGACTCTATCTCTGAGTTGACGGAATTCTTGGGTCTGGTTGCAGTGGCCCTGAGACATGTAGCTGGCCCCAGGGAGCTGTTAGAGGCGCCCCTTCTAGGAATCCCACCTCTGGGACCCCCGATCACGTCTTCCCAGGAGCCTGTCACGAGGACACTTCCAGAGGTAAAATTCTCACCGCAACTCTCGACCTGTGCCTGCCTTCTGGCTTGAAATGTCCCCTCTAGGGCTTAGAAGAGGACTCTTTTCTTGTGGTCATTTAACTGTGGCGGACCCTAAGAGAGTCTAGAGAGACCTAGAGCACACGGCCCAAACAAAACCACGAGGCCAGCACCCCATCACTGTCACCCCTTCCCGATCGCACACGCGGTCACGCAGACACACCCAGCCCTGTCACTCCGCCTGTCAGACACCATCCTGCTCAACCGCTCGCGCACACAGGCTTGAGGCTCCGGACGCGACACGCCGCGTCCGCCCCCCAGACTCCCCCCACCCCCCACCGCCGTCCTGATGCGGCTCCGGTCAAGTCCGCAGAGCCCTCCCACCCTCACCCCGGCGCTCACTACTTCCTCGGACGCGACCGACTCACCGCGCAGGGTCCGAAAGCCTTGAGGACACCGGAAAGAGACCCAGAGATCGAGGTGATCTTGGGCCCAGATGCTTATGGGAAATGAGAGCCGGAAAATCCACGGAGGCTGGGAGCCCGGCGGTTCGAAGTGCTCTCGCAGGCAAGCTCTCCTCGCCCGGAAAAGATCTGGGCGCGCAGACTTCTGGGAAATGTAGTCCACAGCCGGCAAATCCCCGGAAGCCGGGAACCTGGCGCTTCAGACCGCTCCCAGCGTGCAACTCGGCTCTGCCCATCTAAGGTGCTTTAGCAGAAGCCCGCTCGGAGCTCTGGTTTCTGCTGGGGGAAGTAGTTCCCGGCTTGGGCGAGCCTCGCGGCTCAGTGGACTTTGGCGTGGTTAAGGGCAAATTCAGAGGTTCTCGGCGAAAGCTAAGGAACGCATTCTGAAGTCCAGAGCGGGTGGAGATGGGAATAAAGGGTGACCAGGGACTTGGGCCTCGGGGAGGGGTCAGCCCAGGTAAAGTCCGTGAGAATGACCCTGAGGAGGGCCACGAGCTTACCTGGGTATGAGAGACTGACTGGAGCAGTCTGGCAGTTGAACAGATGGGTGTGTCTTGCTCTGGGTGAGTTTGTGGGTCCCATTCGGTGTCTGGGACCCTGTGTGGAGTTGTTTATATTCATGGGATAGTTTCTGCCAGTGTGGGTCTTTGTTTCCTTAGGTGTTACCCGGCTTGTGTTAGAGATGGCATGCTGCTGTTGGAAAGCAACAATAAGTGGTCGCGAATGGATATTGTGACCATGGGGACTTGTGCGAAGGTCTCTGTAGGACAGAGACGTGAGGAGGTCTATGACATTGTCTGTTTCTGTTAATATCAGTAGCTGAAGATGACTTAATATTTGTGACTTTTTTGATAGGCCTTTCTTTTATGTGCATACCATGGTGATTATGAAAGTGGGTCACTGTCCAGGTGGGTTTGAAAAACAGTGTAGTGTTGTCTAGCTCGGTATGTGTTAGTTTGATTATCTGACTACTGACCACTATATGTGCCTGGGAAATTGTGACTGTGTGTTGTGACAGTGAGTGACAATAATCCACAATTTCATTATCTTTTATATAAAATAGAGTAGTGTTATTACATCTTCTTGGAGCATCAAATTTAAGATGCCGAGAAAGATTTGCAGTTTATCTGCCAAATGATTTAGATGTTTTATAAATGAATCAAAGATGTTTTATGGGAAAGAATGCAAAGCAGTTAACTTTTAAAGAGAAAGAAGAAATCAAAGTCACGGAGTGGTTGAAGTAGACTTCCACTCTTCTGTGATGTTGAGGGGACTTGACCAGATAACTTTAAAAGCCCTAGATTAACGAAATAACTTCCCACTTGTAGAGGCAGGTAGATTAGATCAGAGCCCAGAATTAGGGAATCAGATGTCTTAGCTTATAGGTCAGGCAAGGCAAGGAACCTGGTTGAGACTACATGATTAGTACATTAGAAAACTACTTGTCTTGACAAAGCAATCCTGAGAAAAAACAACATAGCTGGAGGTATCACACTCCCTGATTTCAAAGTATACTACAAAGGTATGTACAAATCAAAACATCATGGTATTGGCAGAAAAACAGATACACAGATCAATGGAACAGAATTGAGAGCCCAGAAATAAACCTACACATATGTGGGCAGCTAATTTTGGCACAGGAGCCAAGAACATACAATGGAGAAAGGAAAGTCTCTCCAATAAATGGTGTTGAGGGGCCGGCCCTGTGGCTGAGTGGTTAAAGCTCCAAGCTCTCCTCTTCGGTGGCCCAGATTCACGGGTTTGGATCCCGGGCGTGGACCTACTCCACTCATCAGCCATGCTGTGGAGGTGTCCCATATACAAAGTAGAGGAAGATTGGCACAGATGTTAGCTCAGGGTTAATCTTCCTCAAGCCGGAAAAAAAAAAAAAAGAGGAGGATTGGCAATGATGTTAGCTCAGGGTGAATGTTCCTCACCAAAAAAAAATAAAAGGGCTGGCCCAGTGGCATAGTGGTTAAGTTTGCGTGCTCCACTTTGGTGGCCTGGGGTTCACAGGTTCGAAACACAGGCGTGGACTGATGCACCACTCATCAGGCCACACTGTGGTAGCATCCCATATACAAAATAGAGGAAGATTGGCACAGATGTTAGCTCAGGGCCAATCTTCCTCATCAAAAAAATAAAATAAAGTAAAAAAATAAATGGTGTTGGGAAAACTGGACAGCCACATGCAAAAGAATGAAACTAGACCACTACCTTACACCGTACACAAAAATTAACTCAAAATGGATTAAAGACTTGAATGTAAGGCCTGAAACTATAAAACTCCTAGAATAAAACATAGGTAGTACTCTCTTTGACATCAGTCTTAGCAACATCTTTTCC